TGGTTTTTATGCATCACGAATAACACATTTATAGGATTTAAATCAGTAAGTCATAATACTATAAGACACAGTGTTTCTATCACTAAATTTATATCCTAACTTAATTTACGATATAAATTCTTCCTAGCCCTTACTTTCTCTTCCTAGTCTGTATTTCTGGTTAATTATTATACATCATTATCTGGATCTATACTAGGAGCAGATAATACCTGATTGCCTAGCTGGCATCCTTTCCTAACAACACCTCTCTCCCACTGTATAACAGCCATATGGTTTAGGTGGACTAAACTTATCTTCTGTGGGGTGTGGCAGTGGGGGCGGGGGAAGTTGGGTGGGTGCGTACATGATCCAAGCCAAATAATCACTATTTGCAATCAGGTAAAGGGTGGTCTAATCAGAGAAAAGCTTAGGACTTCTGATCCACTGTTGTGGGAAGTAACTAACTCTCTTTCCCCAAGGATGTGAGCAAAGCATATGGCTTTCATTGCTCATAGCAGCAATCTTGCAACCAAGAGGTTTTTTGTTTATTTTTTCCTGAGTGTGTGGGGAAGGTGGTGGCAATAATACCATTGAAAAATATAAATAATCTTTACTCAAAGATAAAACTGTACATTTAGGACCTGTTAATCAACAGTAACAATGTTGATGAAATTCATAATTTGATAAAAATACTATCTACTCTAAGAAGAGCTTGGGGTAGTGAGAACATAGTTCCTGATTGTATACCATGACACAGGCACTCAAGACCCAAACTGTCAACCATAGAGAATGATAATCAAAGCTATTGTGGATGGGAAGCCTGTAAAGACACAGTAAATAGAGTGAGCAGTAAGTAGTGATGGCATTACTAGAATGACACCTGAGACGTGTACCACTCTTATTTCTCAAGACTCCAAAATGTTTTTTTAGAGCATACAGTGGAAAAAATTTCCCTGATACCAATTTAGAGAAGAAACATCTTTGGTCATTTATGTTAGTGCAATTATGTTTTTTTTAGACCTTAGTTGCCATTATTATAATAAATCCTACATTTTTGGAAGTGGAAAATATAACACATTCAAAACTACCTGAATTCATACTATTTCTCAAGTATATATATTTTATACAATAGGTGTAAATTTGTAAACACATAGAGTAGCAAGCTAATTCAATAAAATCAGTGGTAAATCTTGTCCAAAAGTAGAAAAGCTTATGCATTTATAAGAAACTGTACCCCAAAATTCATCAACACGATTAGACACTTAAAATACATAGATTTCTTCAAGAGAAGTACACTAGTACACTGCTATTTCAATATACCTATTCTATTTTCAAGTACTGCTTCTCAGATAACCCATGAAACACTTACAAATGAGGGGTCTTCCAAAAATTCACTGAAAGATTCATATTATCTTTTAATTCTTTCTTTCTTTCTTTCTTTTTTGGCAGCTGGCTGGTATGGTGATCTGAACCCTTTACCTTGTTGTTATCAGCACCATGCTCTAAACCAACTAAGCTAAGTGGCCAGCCCCTAATTCTATTTTATCATGAACTTTTAGAAGTACCCTCATACATTCTGTAGGGACCCCATGGGCGTCTGAACAGGGACACACCCTGGCAATATGGAGCCCTTCCTGGTTCTTCTCTGCAGTAGACAAGCCTGCTGGCACCAACACCCAAGCCCACCCGTGCCAAACCTCAGCCAGTCACAGGTCAAGGCTCACCTCCTGCCCAGCCCCGTCCAATCAGTTACCGCCTCGTCCATTCTCTCTCCCGCCCCGGAGCACAGCACCCTATAAATGTACGCGCAGTCCTTGAATAAAGCGGAACTTCTCTGGCGAACTGTTAGCCCGGGTCTCGCGTGATTCCTTCGTCCGTGCGTCCCCTTCATTATGGTGCCGAAACCTGGGAGGGAGTTCACCCTGTGACAGGGGACTCCTTCCTCCGACCTCCTCGGACTCCTCCGCGACCCCCCGGATTGATGGTCTGCCCCCGTCTGTTTTCTCTGGCTCTGGCCATCCGTTTTCTCCGGCTCTGACTTCCTTCACCCACCACCGGTTCATCCGTTAGGTAAGCCCCCTTTTCCTTTTGTCAGGCTTGTTTAAACGTTCACCCTAGGGCCGGCCGGGTGGCGCACTGCTACAGTGTGCCGCTTGGGAAGCGCGGCGGCGCTCCCTCTGAGGGTTCGGATCCCACATACAGACCGGTTCCCGCTCACTGGCTGAGCGAGGTGCGGGTGCAGCGCCGAGTGTTGCGATCCCGTTGCCGGTCCCGGTCCGGTACGGGCGCGA